CAAAGTTTTCACAGTTTTTTGCTTCAATGATTCTCCCTGCAGTCATCAATCTCCTCTTCTGCGGGATCGTTCTCATCATTCTAATATGTTCCATGTTTTAAAAAATCAACAAATAAGTTAGCAAATCCATTGCCTTGATCCCTCACCTCTTCCAGCTATAATCCCATTCTGCAGCCTCACTGTTCAGATTTTTTTTTTAAAGATTTTATTTATTTATTTGACAGAGAGAGACATAGCGAGAGAGGGAACACAAGCAGGGGGAGTGGGAGAGAGAGAAGCAGGCTTCCCCGTGGAGCAGGGAGCCCGATGTGAGGCTCGATCCCAGGACCCTGGGATCATGACCTGAGCCAAAGGCAGACGCTTAACGACTGAGCTGCCCAGGCGCCCCTCACTGTTCAGATTTTCTGAACAAGTTGTCTCTACAGTCCTCTCTTATTCTTCTCATACTCCATTAACTCTTAAACCCACCACAGTCTGGCTTTGTCCCCTCCCCTTTACTGAAACAGGTCCTATCTGATTTGGCAGAATTTTTTTGTTGACAATTCCAGGCGACATTTTTCTTTGCATAGGGTACCCAACCTCTTATTTGACATTGTGGCCATGCCTTTGGCCATGAAACACCTTTATCCTCTGACTTGCCTGACACCAGACCCTGAGGATTTTCCTCTACTTCATTGGTTATTCCTTACCAGTCTCCTTTGGTGGCTTCTCCACTATTAGACTTCTGTTAGAGTTTTTTGGAGCTTGGATCTGAGTTCCAGGAACATTTATATCCAGCTATCTGACACCTCCACTTAGATGTCTCAAAGGAACCTGTAACTTAACATAATGAGAAATGAACACCAATTGAAAAAAATATAACTAATGAGGAAGTGTGATAAAATGACTGGGTACAAGATAAATATACTCAATACTGTCATTATAATAGAAATAACCATGTGAGGGGCGCCTGGGTGGCTCAGTCGTTAAGTGTCTGCCTTCGGCTCAGGTCATGATCCCAGGGTCCTGGGATTGAGCCCCGTCATCGGGCTCCCTGCTTGGTGGGAAGCCTGCTTCTCCCTCTCCCACTCCCCCTGCTTGTGTTCCCTCTCTTGCTGTGTCTCTCTCTGTCAAATAAATAAATAAAATCTTTAAAAAAAAGAAAGAACCATGTGGAAATGAAACTAGAGAAGAATTACTGCTTTCACTACAGTGACAAAAAAAGAAAGTCAAAGAACATGATAAAAAATTTTAGTAAGAAAAGCATAGAATCTCTAGTCACAAGATTTTAAAATCTTATTCCTGAGCATGAGATCTGAGCAAACTAAACAACAGATATGCTTAGATGTGAAGCCTTAATATCATAAAATGCCAATCATCTCAATTAATATGCAGATTTAATGCAATTCCGATTAGAATCTCAGTGGGTCAGGGCTTTTTGTTGAGAGGATTGGGTAATATTACTTTAAAGTATATACAAGGGTAAATATCTAAAATTAGCTTTAAAAATTATTTCTTTAAGATTTATTTATTTTAGGTGGGGAGGGGCAGAGGGAGAGAAAGAATCCCAAGCAGACTCCCTGGTGAGTGCAGAGCAGACGCAGGACTCAGTCCCACAACCCTGAGATCATGACCTGAGCCAAAATCTAGAATCAGATGCTTAACTGACTAAGTCACCCAGGCTCCCCAGCTTTAAAAATTACTTTAAAAGGATATATATGGAGGGATGCCTGGGTGGCTCAGTCAGTTAAGCATCTGCTTTCAGCTCAGGTCATGATCCCAAGGTCCTGGGATTGAGTCTTGCATTGAGCTCCTTGCTCAGGGGGGAGACTTCTTCTCCCTCTGCCCCTCCCCCCTGCTTGCTTTCTCTCTCTCTCTCTCTGACAAATAAATAAAATGTTTTTTAAAAAATGGGTATATATGGAGGTAGGAACTTTAACAGATATTAAACTTTATCTTACAGACTATAAATAAAACACTATACTATTGGCATAAAAATAGACAAAGAGTAGAACAGAAGTAGCACCCCAAAATTTATCTCTCTATATATGAGATGCTAATTAATACCAAAAGTAATACCTCAATACAGTGGAAAAAGAGTGGTTTACATTAAAACTATATTGATAATAGAGGGCTCATATTAGAAATAAAAAGGGCTCCAACAAATCAAAAAGATACAGATAACTTAATAGGAAAAAAAAATGAAGAGAACTAAGCAAAGACCCTTTCACAAAGAGGATATCCAAATGCCCAGTAAACATGAAAAGTTACCCAACAACATTAATAACCAGAGAAATGTAAAGTAAAATCAAGTGGGATTCCACTCTGCATCTATCAGCATGACTAAAATGAAAGACTGACAATACCAGTGTTGGCTGTGTGTGGAGTAACTGGAATTCTCATATGGTTGTAGGAGTATAAATCAGTAATAACAGTCAAAATTGAACATATGCATACCTTATAATCTAGCAGTTTTGTTTCTGTATATATATATATATACACAATCGGAATGCAAATACATGTGCATCCTATAACACAGACAAGAATGTTCATAGCAGCATTACTTGCAAAAGTCTAATACTAGAAACAACTAAAATGTCTGAGCAATAGAATGTATTTTGATGGTTGTATATTTATACAGTGGAATACTATATAGCCATAAAAACCAGCTATCAGCCGCTACAGACAACAACACAGATGAATTTCAAAAAACTGGTGAGATAAGAATTCTTTATGTCAAATTGAATGAACACAATGACATGATCCTTATGAATTACCACAGGGGCATCTCTCCATGACGTGGGTCCGCACCATGCACTGCAAGATGTTTGTCATTTCTGGCCTCTGCCCACTCAATGCCTATGGCACTCTAGTCATCCAACAACTACAACTTCACCCCCCACCTGCTGTGACTTCCAGAAGCCTTTTTGGGGTGCAGGAGTGGAGGCTCTACCCATGTTGAGAATCACAAGGCTAGAGGGATTGGAGGAGCCTCTCTCTGGGCAGTAATGCCTATGCTAACCTCGAAGGATGAGTAAGATCTTAAAACCAGAGACCTTGGGACACAAACAGCATATAAAAGGGGGAGCAACATAATGTAGACTCTATCTCACCTGATGAAGCAGTGTGTCCTTGTTGGATAATAGAAATAAAGTTGGATAGATAGAGCAGAGTTAGAATTGTTGATATGAAGGAGTGTGACAGAGGTGAGCAGACAGGGAAAGTGTCATTTTACTCTTGAATGCATCCTGCATACTACTGCCAAATTAATTTTCTAAAACATTGCCCTGTTCAACGGTCCACTTAATATTGCCTGTGAGTCTTGACACCTTTGCTTTATGCTCAAGGCATTTTATCTCATCATATTCATTCCGGTTTATGTCTCATTACTCCTTAAAATTAATTAGGTATGTCTGGCTGGCTGATCAAACTGCTATTTTTACCCCCTCTTTCTTTGTCAATACGCTCACTTCATGCTTTTATTAATATCTTTCTTCCTTTATAAAATATCCTCATTCTTTCTATACAACTTACTATTCCCAGAGACCTTCTCCCTAATGAAACTGGCGCATACCACTCCACACCATCCCGGTATCTTTTTCCACTTTCTTAGAGTATTTATGGTTTGTTCTGCCATATTGTCCGCAACATTGTAGATGGCTTTTCATGCCTCTCGTTCTTATTTCTCTGAATAATTTTTATTCTTCTGAAGAGCTGTGTAAGGTTAAGATCTATGCCTCCCAATATTTTTATAAGCCTCCAATGCAGCCTTGTTTTGGCCAGGTGATAATAGGCATTGTCTTTCAAGTGAAATAGCATTAGATAATGAGCACCCTGAAAACTTAAATTCTGTATTTGTAGATCACAGTATATTAATATTGCAGCATTATAATGTGTCTTATATTTAAATTACCAAGTACTTTTTGTTTCAGTAACTCGATTTAATTCTTTTTGAAGGTAGGAACCAAGATGTTATGTAACTGTATCCCTCACAATGCCTAGCAGTGTGTCTTGCTCACAGTAACTACTCAGTATTTTAAATTTCGATTGATTTTTTTAAATTTGCTTTATCAATTTGCCTTAACTGTAACCATGCTCAGACCATTGTTTTGTTTTGCTAACAACAGAGGGCACCATTAGGATACTTGTACACCCAAGAAATAATCCTGTCCCACTCCTTGGTAGCTTTCTTGAGCCACACTTTCCTCCTTCTAAACGATGTCATACAAATTCAGAAATTATACTAAATCAAAGCAGCCCAATCCTAACTATAGAGCAATGTTGGCTTCCAGTTATTTCTTTGAAAAAAGAGTAAGTACTCTCATATTTTGATCCTTTGTAGTCTTCAGACTTTTTCTTTCTCCCTCTTCCTAATCTTTGCCCAAATGAAATCTTACCCCAGATCTTACTGTATTAATTAAATACATTCCTTTCCCAAAGGAAGAAGACAGACGTGGAAAGCAATAAACTGGAGCCCCACCTTTGTCTCCCTTCCCCTCCTCCTGCCATCTAAAGAGCACAGCTTGAAAGTCACTATAACTCATCTAATTAAAACACGCTTTTTAAAAAATTATTTTGTGATATCTCATTTGGGAATTTAGTATAAAACTAGAAACATTTTCGTTTTACAGTGATTTTTATGTACAAAGGAAAATGTTCTGGAATAAATTCCTTGTTTCAGCAATGAAAGAGTTAATACACTAAGCAGCAGAGACTGAGATACTGCAAGGGATAGTGCTTTCTGTTTCTGTCATTTGTGGTTTAAGAAAAGAGGGTGGTGTTCTGCATTTGAAAGGACTTTAATGAATGCTGTCAGTGTTTGTGAGAGCTAATGGTCAGTATGGGAAAAGAGAGGGGGGAAAGTGGTCTAGCTGCTTCAGGATAGGTGGATGAGAGTTTGCTCTGATTGAACGGAATGTTCCACCGTGTTTCATCGCTATTCATTCTCCTTTGTTCTTTATAATCTGCTATGTTGGTATAAAAGTTAATGTAGATATATATGTGAACGTGATTTATTTCCTTTCAATCTGTTTATTGTGTACAGCAGGGCATAGACTTCTCTTGTCTTGGTTGGATGCACAAATCTGTGTGCAGTGCTTTTTGCCCGTTGCCTAGACGATCACTTGGTTTCTCTGAGGATGTCTGGTTCTCGTAAAGAGTTTGATGTGAAGCAGATTTTGAAAATCAGATGGAGGTGGTTTAGCCATCAAGCATCATCTAATTCTACAGTTGACAGCCAGCAGGGAGAATTTTGGAATCGAGGACAGACTGGAGCAAACGGTGGGAGAAAGTTTTTAGATCCATGTAGCCTACAATTGCCTTTGGCTTCAATTGGTTACCGAAGGTCCAGCCAACTGGATTTTCAGAATTCACCTTCTTGGCCAATGGCATCCACCTCTGAAGTCCCTGCATTTGAGTTTACAGCAGAAGATTGTGGCGGTGCGCATTGGCTGGATAGACCAGAAGTGGATGATGGCACTAGTGAAGAAGAAAATGAATCTGATTCCAGTTCATGCAGGTTGATTATTTTCTTACTGTTAGAAATGGGGTGTGGGGGTATATTCTCTATAGTGTTAATAATTTAGTATTATTATTTATCTATGATATATAGCTCTACATACATACACATATATAACATCTGGGTATGCGTATATGGTACTTTTGCTAGGGTTTGCTGAAATGTTCCCAATTTTAATTCTGTAAAATTATAAATACAACAAGTTGCATTCATTTTGAAATATCTTGTGTTCCATATATAGATATGGCTCTGCCTTGAAAATAATATATAGTAGCAATTTTATGCATCATTGCCTTGCAGTTTGCTTCATTCATTTACCTTCTATAGTCATAGCAAAACTATAGAAGACCTGACATTTTACTTTGCAACAGATTATGGAGTCATTTTTAAATTTTAATGAAAATGAAGGGTTTTACAAGGAGATGTACATTGTAGTTGTCAGTAATTTTTTTTACACCATTGTAGTTACACTAATATTTTTCTTATGGTTATTTCTCTTTGTCCTGTCTATGTTGCTGCCCTCTTTCTAAGATGACAGCTACTAATTCCTGTTACCTTCACTACTGAAAATTGTGCTATTTAGGGAAGTGAAGGACATTCCTTCAGGAGAGTATCAGGGAACACAGAGGGGCTATATGTGGTCAGCGGCTAAAAGCAGGGAGAGAAGAAGGGAGAGTGAGTTTGAGGAGAGAACATAAAAAAAAAATTGGTTGATGTCTCAATGACTTTATCCATCTTCCCCCTTGGAACCTGCCTTTATCTTTGAAATGAATTTTATCAATCAGTTTAAACTACTATAGCATATTATGTAACAAGTCACAGCATAAAAATCTTTCTGGTTCATCTTCATGCAAAAATATTTCTGAATATTTAAAGGCTATTTTTTGTCTAATTTGACTACTGGATTCTTTTTTAAAAATTTCTCTGCAGGTTTTGGTAACACTTATAATTTGTATGTTGGTTCTTAATTATAGGCATCATAAGAGATGGAGACAAAATGATTTCATAGATTCAAGTATTTCTTACTTGGGGATATTTATTGCTTTCTTCTTTTCTAACCTTCAGAACATGGAATTCTGAACTGTGGTGTTGGAATAATAATAAATATAGACCAGTCATCTATAATCATTTGTATAATGAAGAGAGGGGCATATCTTTACATAGGTAACTAGTGTATTTAATTAAAAATTTTTTAAATTAGTTTGTGACTTGGCATTAAGTGAATAAGAACTCCAAATAATTTTAATATGGAGATCAGTTGAGTTAGCATGGTTTCATTGCTTTGCATTTTCTTTGGAGACTTGTTGCCATAAAGAGAATAATAATGTATACAGTAAAAGGTTCAGGGTTTATCATTTTCATGGAAAACCAAAAAGTAATCATCTTCCCATTTGAAAATCAATGCAATGTATCAAGACTATTATAACAAAACCAGAAAAACAAAACATTCATTCATTTATCATCATAAGTTATAAAAATCTTAACATGTATCTACTACCTGGAGAGATTATACATATGTGAGTATAAAATTTATATACAATGTATAAAGTTGTAAAGGTTATAGACACATTGGTTGGTTGCTATAATTTACTTCCTTAAAACAAAGGTAATATGCATAACTAATGATTATTGAAATCAAGTTAATGTATTCTTTAGTATCCATATCAAAATATCATCTTAGTGGGATATTCATTATGAAAGAAAAAGACTGCCTTTTTTTTTTTAAGTGAGAGATTGCTATATGCATACTTCAAGAATGTAAAATTGATACTTTTATTTATAGGAGATATAAAAGTAACAATGATATTTTTAAAAAATCTGAATGTAGTTGTTTTTAAAATGCTAATCAAGAAGCTTGAGAAAGTAAATAATAAGATGGGAGTAAATAGTTTGCATCTGCAGTAACCAAACTATTCCTAAAATATTATTTCAAAAATAAAATATGCTTTTAAAAAGTCCCTGATTTTTAGATATAAAAACACGTCAAAGCAACTTAATATTCTCAAAGGTTTGAAATTTCTATCCTAACATCTTATTGCAAAAAACAACCATTCTAGATTTAGAAATGTCATTTGTGTGTATACTACTACTCCTCTGCTTTTTTCTAGATTAAATATATCTGATTCTCACATCTTCCTTCAGTCCTTCAGCTCTGAGTCTTTGATCTTTGTCATAAGGATACATTTATTTGCCCCTAGCTTTTTGATTAAGCGAGCAGTCTCTTTAGGTGATGGCCCTTCTACTGTAAACAAATCAAAAGCTGTCACTGTTAATGTCAAAAGAAGCCACACTGACATTCATCAAATTTTTGTATATAACTTGGGCACAAGTGTTTTTCTTTTTCTTACATAATATTTACAAAAAATAAAACAGTAAACATTTGAGTATGTTATGAATTGATATCTTAAAATATTAAAGACGTAATGGTAATACACATGATATATGGAGAATTTCTTATTTAAGCATTCATAATAATTACATAGGTAGATCTCAGAACTTAGACTGAAATTTTGAATTATTAGAAAAAAGGGAAAACAGCTGAGTGGTTTTACCTACACAAAATCCTAGCACCCACAGTGGGTCTGCACAATTTCAGGCAGAAGTTAAAGGCATCTATGTTGCTTATATGTTTGATTAGTTGCATTCCAACTAGGAGACGTGTCAGCTTCAGCCCTTAGACTTCCGCTAATTTCTCCTGCCACACATCTAAGTGATTTAAAAGTTTTCATCTTTTGGGGGCACTTGGGCGGCTCAGTCGGTTGAGCATCCAACTCTTGATTTCGGCTCAGGTCATGATCTCAGGGTTGTGAGATCGAACCCCACATCAAGTTCTATGCTGAGCAAGAAGTCTGCTTGGGATTCTCTCTCTCCTCCCTCTGCCCTTCACTGCTCGTCTCTCTCTAAATAAATCTTTAAAAGTTTTCATATTTTAATTTTGATCTTAGGTCTGTAGCCTAGCCAACATTTTCTCCATGGGAATTGTCTAAGTCATTACTTCAATATTGAAATGCAACCCTTATTTTTTACACTGTGAGGAATTTTAGACCCTAAGTGAGGGTTGCCAGTGTGCAATAGGTTCCTAAGACCTTAATTCAGGATGAAATTCTTATGAAGGCTAGGAGAGTTTCCATTGTGACCCACCATGTGACCATAGTACAAACTCAGTTTGCACTTCACTTGATTTGCCAGCTTTAAAAATTATATAATTTTTAACATATTGAGGGAAATTTCATTATTTCAAGCTTTGTAAAGTTTAATATTTTATATGTCAGATTTGTATGTCACTTTTTAGTCAATATGTGTAAAATATTACTGTACTTTACAAATATTCAGAAATAATAATAGCTAATACTAGCTGGGTGCTTAGTACCTGTGGAGCACTGTTTTAAGCATTTCAGTATGAATTCATTTAGTCTTCCCAACAAATTTCTGAGATAGCCACTGTTCTCATTCTAATTTTATAGATGAGTCAATGAGGAACAGAAAGGCTAAGTAACTTGCTCAAGATTAGTAAGTGAAATAAAACTGCATTTTAAAAAATAAACTTTATATTTTTACAACTGTTTTAGGTTTATAGGAAAATTGAAGAATAGTATAGTGAATTCCTTTATACCCCACACCCAGTTTCTCTTATTTTTAATATATTAGAATGGTACATGTGTTACTATTAATAAACCAATATTGATACATTATTATTAACTGAGGTCCATATTTTATTCAGATTTTCTGAATTTCTACCTAAAGACCTTTTTCTGTTGTAGGATCCCATCCAGAACACCATGTTACATTTAGTTATCATGTCTCCTTAGGCTCCTCTGGGCTGGGACAGTTTCTCAGACTTTCCTTGTTTCTGATGACCTTGGCAGTTCAGGGAGTGGGGTCAGATGTTTTGCAGAATGTCTTACTCAGCTGAGATTTATCTGATGTTTTTCTCATGATTAGACTGGGGTTATGAGTTTCGGGGAGGAAGACCACAAAGGTAAAGTGCATTTTCATCACATCATATCAAGGATCCATACTATCAACCTGAATTATCGCTGTTGGCATTGACTTGATCGCTTGGAAGTAGCCGCATTTTGACCCCAAACAATTAGATTTCATGCTCACATGCCAGTCTGTGTGTGACTATTTCAGCTGTCTGTGACTTTCATCCCCAAGTTCAACTTGGATTAACATAATAGTTAATGATTCATTCTCACCACTTTCACCTTCTCTTCTCAGCTAATTTTCTTAGCCTGGTTCTTGAAAATGCCAAGCCTGGTTGGCTTACAGGTATAGTCTCTTAATAGGGCCACAGCTCTTTACCCACAGTTCTCTATCTGACCCGTGATAATTGGTTGCATGTCCCCATTTCAACGGCAGATATACGCACTTTTCTTTGACTCCTCTTGAAGGCGCGGAGGTCCTTCTCTCCCAACAAGGCAGTATCCTCACCTGTTCTCAAGTGCTACCTCCTTTTTCTTGCCCCTCGTCATGTTGTGTCTGCATCTCCTTGTTTGAACTAGTGTATTAATTCTGGTACAGTTTGAAATTAAATCCTCAACATTTCCACGAATTCTGCTTCCAGAGATGGCAAAGAAGTTCAACTCTACCATACTTGTATCTGGGAAGGATATATGGCATGTCCTCCCTTACACGTATATGCCCAAGTCATGGTGTGAATTCCTTTGACAAAAGCTATGGAACCTCTTCCCACAAGACACTCTGTGCGTGCACATGCAGGTGTATGTGTGTGCACGTGTGAGTGTTAAGTATTTTGTACACCATTCAAGGAGTTTGTGAACCTTCTAAGGCATCTCCGTCTGCTGTATCATTCTGCCTTTTTAGCTTTGAGCAACTGAAATTGACGAGCTGATTTAAACAGAATAGGAGTTTATTGGAATCCTATTAGTTCTCAGAACTGCTGGGAAAGCTGAAGAATCAGCCTAGGACAAAGGATAAGCACTTCAGTTGCACAACTGGCCTTTATAACTCCAGACTTTAAAGGCAGAAGAACCTGC